TGCTCTGCTGCACCAGACTGCGTTGCATGATAACATATGTAAGCATATTTATAAATATGCATCTGTGGGCAATTAATATTGTTTGTTTTCCCTAGAAATTAAAAATTAAACCCCAATTCATATAAAATTACCATTTTTCGCGCTTGCCACATGAGCATGCACGACAAAATCATAGAGATTCTGAAATAGACAAATACCAACATGTTAGCTTTCGTTTTTGTCATTAATTCACATAGTATGTGTTTCTTTGCCCCTTACCGTTAAAACCATCCCTGTTCGGTCTTTCTTCCTATGATGTTTATAAAGCTTATTGAATAATAACTACAATAGCTTTACATGATGAAAAGGTTATAGATGGCACATAAAAACAAAATTACATAAGAGCAAGTATAATAACATGACATAAGTGGGCTATAAGTATTGCACATCAAATTTATGATGAGGTGGAGGAGAGAGGAGATGAGAGAGAAGGGAGTGGGTTGTAGATTTGTAGCCAGCAGCAGCACAGGCTCCAACAAACTTTGTGAGAATGAGGTGGGCTAGGTATTAATGACATAGTATTTATCTGTGGATAACAATGAAGGGTGGGCTATTAGATTGATTATCGGTGATGTGGCAATGAGATAGAGCCAGCAGCTAGCTCTATTATTAGCCATGCTCTAAAAGAGAGTCAAAAAGCGGATGGGGGCACAATCCTCATATGGTGGTTCCTCCCCCAAGACCTTAGCTTCCTTGTTGGCGATGGCTGCAGTGGTGGACAATGGCCTCAGTATTTCAAGCTGCACTTCTTTTTGGTTTCTTTTGTTTGTTGCTTGTAAGCACTTTGTATCATCCGTTTCTGACTACTAATTTAAAGCCGGGCCTAATGCCTTTGATCTAAAGAAACAAAACTGCATACATTTCTTGTTCAAAAGTATTGTTGAAACCAATACTTTTTGCATCTTTGCATTACATCATAATTTCAAAATGTTGCTTAGATGCCTGGCAAATGTTGATGTGAAAATTTCCAGAAACTTGTTTTCTGCGGCCATCCAAGGATTAATCTTTTTTGGAAGTATGGTTGGATACTTTTAAGGTTTCCTGTTATCACCAAGTAACCAATTTTCTTGGAGTTTATTTTGGACAAGATTTTTCTGGTGTCCATTGTTTAGTGAAAATTTCAGTTTTTTTTATACCACACCATGAGGTGTGCTTCCTTTACCACCAGGGCAAGAATGTATCTGTGATGTGGTAGCACTTTTGAATTACTTCATTCTTAAGTTTGAAATCTTATTTATGCAATCTGGCTAGGTTCAGCGGTGATCGCTTAATCGGGATCACCGAATTGCTGTTACTGGCAGTTTGTCTGATTTTTTTTTTCATTTCTGTTCCCATAGAAGCTCTTTCTTTTGAATGAATGTGTTATTGTCAAATGTTCTCCTACAACTTTTTCTAATCAAAGATGATGGAATGCTAGATAAATTAATGAGTGAGTATAATTTATTGAAGAAATAATTGTTCTCCTGTGGACATTCTGAAGCAGCACAAGGTTGTGGAGGACCTTGCTGCTACAATGTGTACAACACAAGTGTTGAAGGAACTACTTCAACGTGCTGCGCTAGATATGCCAGCAGGAGTTCAATCCAAAACTCCTAGAGCACAAGATCTAGTCCAAGATCTTAGATAAGAACAACAAGTTCTATTATAGGTAGTGGTTACATAATCCGGTTACAAACTAGAGGTGAGGACCTCTATTTATAGGGCTTTGGGAAGCCTTCACATAATTCTACTTATATAGCTGGAACACTCTAGAAAACATTACTTAGGATTCACCATTCTACTCAAAGCTACTTATAACTAGAGAACTCTAGAAACAGTAGGTAGGGTAAAGAAAGGAAAAGAAATACCACACTAGAGTGGAAGTATCTAGAAGTAGCCAAACAGATGTGGCATGTGATTTTTTTTCTTTTTCCTCATCTATTGTTCCTCATCACTTTCAAATTTAATGATAGAAGTTTGCGCATCTGTTTACCTCATTTTACCTATTTCTTGTAGCTTTGGTACAAGAATTACTAGTTAATTCACTACCAGTAACCGTTATATATAATGGTAATCTGCGTCCATCATATACTATCTACTTAATTCAGGACATATTTCTAATCAGGGGCACTGGAGATCTTACTGAACAATATTGTGGGGCTTGTGAAGTTAACAGACTCATCAGGGAACAATGCCCTGCACTATGCCACGTTGAACAACAGGGTTCGCATGGTATCCATTTGCTCAACAAGAACTCTGCTCTGGCATGCAAGAAGAACACTGAGGAGCATACCCCTCTCCACATTGTTGCCAAGTATGGCTTCACAGAGGCTGCCAAAGAGCTCTTGAAGCAGTTCCCTGATGCCATTAAGGTGGTGGATTTAGATGGGAGAAACGCTTTGCACATCGCCATCGTCAACAACAAGCTGAGCATACTTGAGTTGCTTCTCAAGTATAAGCTGCCAAAGGAGATCTTGAACAAACAGGATAATGATGGCAACACACTGCTGCATCATGCTGCCAGGCTCCACCAGGGGCCATCAATACTGTGGTTACTCAATGATCCGAGAATCAACTCATTCGTGATTAACAAAGAAGGACACACTGCATGGGCCTACCAGGTGAATTGAATAACCTTGCTCTGTAATTCCTACAAAAGAATTTGTACTTGCTAGGGGCTGGTTGCCTGATACTGATGCCATGCAAAACCATTTAACTATCTATTGTACATAATTATTTATAGAGGTCGTGTCTCACGCCTTCTTACCGTTATGGTTCCTTTCATCCTGATTCAATAGCCTAAAGGTTTTTGCTCCTTTACTGAGTTTGAATACCATTTGTTGTTCTCACATTCTGGTCTGTATCTATCACATTGAAATGAATTAGCGGATTAAAATCATCTTCTCCATTGCAGATTCCAATAGAGCCCATGGCTCAAGCATTGAGTAATGCAATAGACAAAGGGGACATGCTAAGCCTGGTAAATTTTCTCGCTGACTGTCCCGAAGGGGTTTATTCAGTGACACCCATAAGAGGAGACACAGCCGTCCACCTCGCAGCATCAAAAGGAAATGATTGCTTTGTTCATCATGTGCTTCTCTATACGAACCGGAATGTGGGGTTTATCATCAGTAAGAATATTAATGGGGATACACCATTGCACCTGGCGGTGAGAGCAGGCCATGTGAAAGTGGTAGATCATTTGATGCACTACATGGCTTGGGCTAAGGAAATCGAGCCCAACTTAAAGTTAAAGGTTTTCATCATACCAACATGCATCCTATTTTAATTTCACTGGTACAACTTATAGTTGCTAACATTTCCACTTGTGTACACAATAGTGTTTGTTGTTAGTAGATTATTAAGCAGTGGTACAGCTGGCAATGCCAATGGCAACTTAGTCATTTTTTTACCTGAATGGCAATGTAGTGAGTGAGTGTGAGTGTGAAATAGCGGTGGATGAGGAGTCGGGACAAGTGAGTTTGAGCACGTGCACAGGCTGGGTACTTGATGGGTAGCTTTCCATTTATCGTGTTGGATTGGCAACACAATGTTATGCCAGCGGTTAGTATTTGTCCATAATTAGAGGCAACAGTACCAAAAGCACAAATTATTTGAGATGCTAGAAACCAAAGGAAGTACACCTCAACTCTTTGCTAGCACCTTTTCAAAAAAGTCTTTGCTAGCCAGATACATTGCTGACAAATGGCAATCAAATTTTAGTTACTGGGAATCAGTACTGGTATTCCACTTCTATTTGCAGGAGCCTCTGATAATGCAGGGCAAGGAAGGGAACACGCTGCTGCATGAGGCAGTGATACATGGTTGGCATGATCTGGCAGTCAGCCTGCTAGATCATGGCAAAGAGGTTACATGGACGGCTACTGAAGAATTCATCAGGGAGTACCATGAGTACGCTGGGGATGTTGTCAGTACACATGATGTATTCCTTGTCATTAGGAATGATGACGGGGACACACCGTTGCACCTTGCAGTTAAATCTGGCAATTCCGTCCTTGTCAATATGCTTATCGGACGTACTAAAGTGATGAACCTGGAACTTACGCCACAGTATGCAAAGGTACTTACTCTGATATTTGGTGAAATTTTATACACCATCAAAATAACTTTTTCTAGAACCTTACTACCTTCAACCATGGCTGCGTGACTGCGTCCCATAAACAACCTCAAACTATGAAACACTTCAATTCACAACCTATAAAGTAAAAAAAAGACAATGCAACCATTCCATTTTGGACCGATGATGCTATCACAACAGCTAGCACGTCATCACAAACCAAAATGTCATCATGTTAAGTATATTCTTTTGGGTTTAACATTTGTTCATGTGAGTGGGTCCTACATCACTGGAGAGGAGTCTTTCTATCCCTCAGTTTGGTCGGAAACTACTGGGGAATGAGGTAGTATCTAGTGCCTACCGATTCAAAGATTGGACCACTACAAAGTCATAAAAGTTTACGCAATAAATTGACAATATCAGAAATTCGGAATGAAATCCGAAACCCTGTGACATCATCAAGGCCGATGTTATTGCTGCCATCCTTCACCTGGTGGCTCTGCATGGCGACTGTGCAGGCTTAATCAACACCGTCAATATCATTCTTATCCCCAAGAAGGCGGATGCCACCGGGATTGGGGACTACCAATCCATCAGCCTCATCCATAGCCTTTCCAAGATTTTCTCCAAGCTCCTCGCAAACTGTCTTGCACTAATCTTGGGCGATATTATCTCCAGGAGTCGGAACGCGTTCAAAAAGAGGTGCATCCATGACAACTTCCTATTCGTTTTGAACCTCTTAAAAGAGCTCCACCAATCCAAAATGCCAAGCCTCTTTCTCAAGCTCGACATCTCAAAGGCTTTTGACTCGGCGAACTAGGTCTACCTCCTGGAGGTTTTAGACCACTTTGGGTTTGGTCCGCGTTGGTGGGAGTGGATTTGCTTGACACTCGGATCCTCCTCAATGGAGTCCGGGCATCCCCTTCCTCACCGGCGCGGGCTTCAGCAAGGAGACCCCAAGTCGTCCATGCTCTTCATCCTGGCCATTGAACCCCTACACCACCTCCTTCGTTTGGCGGCGGACTCAGGTGTCCTTTTGCCCGTTAGAGCCAGGGCCACGCGGTGTAGGATTTCCATGTATGCGGATGACGCCGACATCTTCGCCACCCCAACAACCGAGCTTGCTGCTATTCGATCCATCCTTGACTGCTTCGGGGAGGCTAGCAGATTAGTACCAACCTCGATAAGACGGAGGTCTTCCCCATTCGCTATGAAAACTTTGATCTCCAAGACATCCTCTCCAACTTCCCTGCCAAGCTTGGATCTTTCCCGGGACGCTATCTGGGGCTCCCCCTGCTATACTGCTGCCTTCGGAAGGTCCACCTGCAACCTCTCATCGACAAGATTGTCGTGTGACTGCCAGGCTGGAAGGGTACAAGCATTGTCAGAGCCGGCACGGTCACCTTGGCCAAAGCCATCCTTATCGCGATTGCCACTTCACTCGACGGTCACCCCCTTCCCAAAATGGGCCCGCTCCAAGGTTGACAAGATTTCTTGTGGTTTTTCTGGAGTGGCGACAATAGTGAGACTGCGGGCGGCGGTCACTCGTTTGTCAACTGGAAGACGGTCTACCGCCCCAAAGCCCTTGGTGGCCTCGGCATTGCGGATCCGGAGTGCTTCGGCCAGGCCCTTCGTCTTTGTTGGCCATGGCTATAGTGGGTGGACCCCGGTAGGCCGTGGGATGGCTCTCAGCTACCTTGCGACTCGACGGATATGGCCCTCTTTCGGTCCTCCATGAAGATCAGCCTTGGTGACGGAATGAAGGCTACCTTCTGGCATGATAATTGGAGTGGGGTTGGGGCTCTAAGTCTTCGCTGCCCTAACCGGTTTGCCATTGCAACAAGGAAGAACAGGAAGGTCCACAAGGAGTTTCTACATGATAACTAGATCCGCTCAGTCGCCTGTCTGCGTCTGCTGGACCACCTACCGGAGTTCATTGACTTGGCCACCATTGTATCCCGGATGGTCTTGGACCCGCTTTGCTCATACTCAATCTCCTGGATCTGGACCCCCAACGGAGAATATACGGCGAGTTCCGCCTACTCGGCCCAGTTCATCGGATCCTACGGCACGGCACATTCGAGACGAACACGATATGGCGCACCCACGCGGAACAAAAATGCGGGCTCTTTTCTTGGCTGGTACTTCATAACCGGATCCTATCAACCGATTGCCTGGTGCTGCGAGGCTGGCTCACGACCCCATCTGCTAGCTTTGCTTGAGCTCCCTGGACACGGCCACCCATTTGTGCAAGGACTACCCCTTCACCGCGGCGGTCCGTTTCACGGTGCTCTCTTGGCAGGGTGTCCATTTGAGTCCGAGTCTCGTCACTACCATCCCCTCCATTGATGCCTGGTGGGAAGGTCTCCTAAGGTCCTCCAGCAAAGACACTAAAAGGTTTCACAGCAGCCACATCATTTACATCATGTGGAATGTTTGGAAGGAAAGGAACTGGCGCATCTTCAATGGCATAAGCATGACGTATATTGAGGTGGCTCACCTAACCATGGAGGACATTGCGTAGAGAGATTTAGCATTTAGACCAAGAGTTAACCACTTGCATGAGTAATTTGCATGTGGTGTGAGTTTCTTGGGGTTTCCGGCATGTCCCCTAAACATGCCACTCTGTATATATTTCCCCCTTAATGAAAAGGCAGCGCTCCTGCCGGTTGCTAAAAAAAAGAGAAAGAAATTACTTTGTGAACAATCAGTCCCAGTCTTTTGCCCAATACTTTGGTGAGTATTTTTTAACTCACATTCAACAAGAAGACGGGTCTAAATTTCTGAATAACAGTTGCATTAGGCATTTTAGGAATCAAAGCAATGATTCCATGGTTAAACCTTTCAGTATCCATCTCACCCTTGTGAAATTTGTCAAGAAGTTCCTTCAGATCATTCTTAATAATTTACCAAAAGTCTTGATAAAACTCCACAGGAAACCCATCAGCCCCTGCAGCTTTATTATGCTTCTTCTCAAAAACTGCCTCTCTAATTTCTTCCAAAGTAAACTCTTCAATCAAGCGCTCCCATATCTTCATGTGTAAGCTGAGTTATTCAACACAATCCTATTTGAAATTGAGAGGGAAGGGAGGAGGGAAGAATTTATCTCAAAAGGTAATCGTAGTGGAATCCTCACTGCAATTTAATAAATATTGTTTGGTATGTAACTTAATTTTTGAAGAGTAACAAACATCGGATCCTATTTTAACTAAAAATTGTGATGTGTTGTTGATTTGCTGAAAGGGAAAAAGAACCTGCAATTGAAATTTAGGAAAAATAGGATTGCTATTCATGATCATACACATCAGCTCATTCTGCATTCTGTGAAGGCAGATTTTAACATGTTCCCTCTTACCCCCTCTTTTTACATATGAGGTAAGAAGGTAAGAGTTAATCCGACCACTAATTAATGTGATCAACGGTTCAGATCTACTACATACCCTTACCTCTCATGTGAAAAAAGGGGGTAAGAGGGAGCATGCTAAAACTGCTCCCTATCGGACTATTACATGTATTGAACTATTACCAGTGAGGGAGGGCACTACTATTAACTACACTTAATTTTTCGGAGCATTGTGTGCAGTGTTGATCGTACTGATACGTCCAATGTACAACATTGACGGCACCATAAAAAGTAAGAAATGTTTAAGTAACATGTTTAGCTACATGGATAATGCGCTATCTACAGTTTTTCCATAGCATAGTCATTAGTTCAACAATGAAGGTCTACAATAACCTATTCCTGATCAGGAGCGCTGGAGATCGTGCTGAACAGATATGAGGAGCTTGTAGAGTTGTCAGACTTATTAGGGAACAATGCCCTGCATTACGCGGCGGAGAAGAATAATGCACGCATTGTATCCATATTACTCAACAAGAATCACGCTCTAGCCTACAAACAGAATAATGAGAAGCATACTCCTCTCCACATAGCTGCTTACTATGGCTCCACAGAGGCTGCCAAAGAACTCTTGAAGCAGTTCCCTGACGTTATTGAGATGGTGGATAACATGGGACGAAACGCACTCCACATCGCGGCCATAAATGACAAGGTGAGTGTGCTTGAATTGCTTCTCAAGTATGTGCTGCCGAAGGAGATTGTGAACCAACAGGATAGGGATGGCAACACACCGCTGCATCATGCTGGCAAGCTCTTCGGGAAACAAGCAGCATTGCTGCTACTCAATGATCGGAGAGTCAAACCATGCCTGGTTAACCAAGATGAAGATGCCGCATTTTCCCTTTCTCAGAGAACAGGAATAGAGGTAAATAAACCAACACCAGCAATTATGCCCTACAAAATAGTGTTACTTGTTCTACAAAATTATGTTTGTAATAAGGAAACAAATGAAGAAGATTTCCATTTTGTCCGTTTGAAAAACAAAGTTAGGTTTATACAGTGAAATAAAAAACTAAATCCATGCAAAGCATTTATATGTTGTTTTTATCAAATTTCAAGTTTTAGTATTAAGTTGTGTCTTCTGGAATCATGTTTACAGCGAACTTATGGCAAACACAAGCTGCTGATACTGACAAAGCAACAGCCTCGACCACTGCGGAACCGGCGAACAAGTCCACAGATGGCGCACAACATAGTTTGCAGCGTACTTGTGGTTGTGGCCACCCTGATGGGCATGTCCACCTTTGCAGTCACACTAACCGTGCCTGGCGGCTATAACCAACAGTCTGGCGCTGCCATTGTTGGGCACCATCAGGCGTTCAATATACTCGTCATCTGCAACGCCATTTCAATGTGTGGCTCGACTGTTGTTGCCTTGTGCATCTTTTTGTGGAAGGGTCATGTGGAGACAAGGGTCAGTTACGGTGTTATGCTGTTTGGTGCCAAGTTGTTGATTGTCTTCTCTGGCCTCACAATGATTATGTCAATGTTGACTGCCATATACCTCACCATCGCACCAATGTTAGTTGCCTATGTGGGGGTTGCCATTGGTGCCAGCGTTCCTCTCTTGGTGTGCCTGGTGGTGGTACTGGGGAAGTCTGTCTATGAATTCCGTGTTTAGTTCTTTGATCGGTGTAGAACTGGGATCTCAGGGGGAGTGAGGTGAAATGGCTGCTGGGAGCACATATTCCCAGGATAATTTTTAGTTCTTGTTTGGTTGCTGGACTGTTCGAATATTAGATACACCCTTTTCAATTTAAATGTGGAACAAGGGGATGTGATTGATTTGTACATCCGAGCTCTTTGTTGTACTGTTGGTCCTGATGGCTTTTCAGCAGCAACATTGCATTAATCCTTGTAAGTCCAAGTACACCTACTAGTTCAATAAATCTTAAGGTCATTCACAATGCTGCTTGCGACAAATCTCTACACTTGGGGGCCCAACACCAGTAAAAAAGAACACCTAGATTATAGGATGCAAACCTTTTTTTTTGGCACCATTGTCAGGGAAATCCTTTTTTCTGGCACCGTTGTCAGGGAAATATTTGCTACTATATAATAGGCCACACTACACTCTATTACTTTATTTCCTTGTTATCTATCTTATTACTTAGTGACTTTTTATTCTAGGTTTTTGCTTTTTGAAAACTCGAAATACCAAAAGCATTGAAAGTTAAGCATGCTAGTTTTCTCTAAAGCATCAATCTTATTGGCACACACATAATCTATAGAAATTGCTTAAGTTTTCAAAAACATTTCATACTTTGGACATGTGGCTCAAGAAGAAGCTATTGGGCTATGATCAGCGAATGCTAAGTATGAATTGTATATACATGATAAACGTTATGATTCAAGTGATAAAGATGATGAGTATATTAGTGAAGAAAAATGAAGCACTTGATGAAATAATTGCTTTTTATGGTGACAATATGTCAGTAGGCACCGGTGAAGATGATTGGACTATGTCAACTAGTCCTTATTATGATGACCATTATCCGTGAGACAATTGTGATATTTCTTGTGGCTTTGAAAATTTATTTGGGACTTATCATGAATCTATCATTGATAACATTGTTTGTAATATTATTGAAAGTGACTTGGAGAGGTCATGACTTTAGGTAGTAATTATCCGACTATTTTAAAGTGTTCAATTTGGTTGAAATATTGATAAAAGTAGGTTTGAAGAGGTGATAGCTATATCATTGAGTTAATGTTGATCCCACTATTTTGAAGAATTATAAGATCTATATGCATGTGGATCATGAGGAAAGACTCTTAGCTGATAGCTATATCATTGAGTTTGATTATGATCTCACATATAATTGTAATGAAAGAGGGAAATATGGTTAGAGAAATCTTCATGTTAAAAAATCACCTCTCTTTATGTTAATGGTTTTAAAGTTGCATCATTCTCTCCTGCCTATGTGGGACTGCTTGTCGTAATAACTTTTTTTAGTTATAAGATGCCTATGCATAACATGTGTTGGACTTAAGTGTATTTGATATATGCTTTTTGATGCTCTTTTTTGTGCTTCAATTCATGTTTTCATGTGAGCATCAATAAAACCTCAATCCTATTTTAATGGCTCTAAAGAAAAAGCTTGCGAGAGACAACCCGAAATAGTTGTCAATGAGGTTGATCCTTTTGTAACAACCTTGTTTTGTATTTATTTTTCTTTCGATAAAGTGCCAAAGATAGCCTTTACCACGGTAAATTTGCAATATGTGAGTTACCACGGTGAAACAAAAAGTCAGTTGTTATGTTTTGATTTGTTGCGGCTAAATAGAGCATGCTAAAATCTTGAAATTTTTACACAGGTAATTACAAATAGGTTCTATGTTGTTAATTTTAGAATTTTTTGAGTTGCAGAATTATTGCCTAAAGTTTCATCTCTACAGACCGTTCTGTTTTGTCAGGGATTGCTGTTATAGCGAAACGACTCCTTGGCGATCGATCGCGGGAGCGAACAATTCCGACCGTGCGCGCCACTTGGCCTATTCCCTTTCCCTTTCTAGCTTTTTTCCTTTTATGAAAAAGCCCAGCCGTGCGCATACTCCCTTTTACCTTTCCACCCTCTCCTACTGCTCATTCCACATCCAACGCTCGGGATTTATTGGGGAGCATCCCCTAGCTCGGTTGATGCGTTCAAAATTTCAATGGTACGTATCCTGCGCTTATGTGACATGACAACGTGGCTATGCCCCCCTGTCAGTGATTAGAACTGCTCTATGCGGCGTGCACAATTTTATTTTGCATAATCACCCTCTGTATTTAATTAAACAGAGCCCATCAATAACACGTGTGGGCCTGCACATATTTTTGCATAATCACCCCTCGCTCTGTGTTTAATTAAGCAGAAGCCCTTCAATAGCACGTATGGGTCCTACTTGTCAGCACGGACGGTGGGAGAAATGAGAATAAAAAGAGAGCGTTGGGGGATTCTCAAACTCCCGACCTCATATATACAATGCACACACTAGCCAACAACTACACCGACTACATACTCATGACTATTCGAACTCCCGACCTCATATACAATGTACGTACTTCTTTTTCTAGACTCCTTTTTTTCCAGGTTTCCAGAAAATATGGTCTTTTTGGGCCCAAAAAAGGCGTCAAAACATATAATGTTTTTTTATTTTTTGAGGGGAAAATATATAATGTTCTATCCATTACGTACAAAACTTTTCTGCAAGTGAGATTTTTTTATTCCCTTTTTTCGGAAGGGGCTGGAAAATCCGGGTCAAAATATCTCAATAATTCTATTTTTTCGCCTAATTTTTTAAAATGAATTTTGATTTCATTTTTTAACATCTAAAAATATTTAGTTTGACAAAAAAGTTTGAAGAAGTTATCAGAGATTCGGTCCAAGAGAGAAAAACAGGAATATGAGTAGTTGTCATCGCAAAATTATAAAATTAAGTGTTCCTCTTTGTGGGAAGTAACATGTACTTGGTGTTGTGGTTGGCTCGTGCATTAACACACTCGAAGTCAAGAGATCGATTCCGATTGTTCCCCTATTTTTCTGCAAAATTATCCATGCGATGTTCAACGTACCCTGTGGCCGTCTTCGCCTCCGTCTAAAAAAACATCTCAGAAAAAAATTCTCACCTTCATAAAAAAATAAAAAATAAAAAAAAATAATATTAGACGTTTTTAAAGTTTTAGCACCAAACTAAACATCAGACGTAAGTTATGTGACTCCGGATGATATTACCTCCATGAATAATTAGAGAGTATTTTACAATGCAGCCAACACAGAGTGCAGAACCGATCCTACTACTTTCACTGAATGTTAATGCCAACAGACTTCGTATACTGAAGAAATCCCACAAGGACAACTTGCAAGGGGGTTTTCTAAAAAAATACCGCTACAGCCTACCAGTGAGCGCCACTTTGCATATCTTCACTTAAAAAAATACCATAGGCACCTCCACCTAAAATCTAAAAAAAACTAAAAGATTTCTCACCGCGGTCAACCAGCTTGCGCTACGTGGCATAGCTGGATGGCCGCACTTCACGCGACACGTAATAGATTTAGTTGTCCCATTTTTTTCATTATAGTTGAGGCCTTTTGTGCACAATTAAACAAATTGCAAGGGGGTTTTCTAAAAAAATCCTATATGCTACAGTCACCCAACGCCGTGTGTACTTTAGCCACGGACAAGTGGGCCTCTGCCAAGCTGGTGCGCCATGTGAGCAGGCCATACGGCTAGATACAAGAGGAAACATCGTATTTGCACGAAAACGCAAGTTGAATGACCACAAATCCGTATTTTTAAAGTTTTAGCACCAAACTAAACATCAGACGTAAGTTATGTGACTCCGGATGATATTACCTCCATGAATAATTAGGGAGTATTTTACAATGCAGCCAACACAGAGTGCAGAACCGATCCTACTACTTTCACTGAATGTTAATGCCAACAGACTTCGTATACTGAAGAAATCCCACAAGGACAAAAAAGGTGAAATACTGATGGTTCACTGACCGGCAGCGAACCAAGGAAAGATTAATATAAATTTCTTTCGAAAAATTATTAGATGAATAAATCACACGTACTAATCTTGGATCATTTCCTTCGATCATACCGCCGCACTGCACAGCAGTCATTTCATACAGCCGTACTGCAAAGCAGTTATCTCAGAAGCAAGACGCACCTGAGACTGGATCTTCTGGATGGCCAGGCATCCAAAAGATGGGACTTTTTTAGCTTTCTATCCTATTGAACTATCGTTTCTTCAGCTGTAATAATAGCAACTCAGTGTGTACACGATGCGGCATGTGTTCGTTATGTTTTTAGGCTGGTCATGATGGGAAGTAACTTATACTAGTGTCATGCATATGACACTAGTCTAAATTACTACTTTCATAGTGCAAAGTAACATAGTAGTAGTAGTGTCATAGAGGACCTCATTAATTAGCTTGTAGACTCATTTTGTCTTGGAAAACGCTATGTTACAGTAATATATTATGTTACCACTTCTCATTAACTACATGCCACATAAGCAAAAGTTTTTCGAAGTGCGCTATGTTACTTACTAAGTTACTCCCACTATGACTAGCCTTATACATTTGTTGCGACACCATGAGTCAATAAAGAGCGCTCTTTATCAGAAAAAAAAGCAGCACATACAGGATTCAACTACGCACAGTTTGCACATTGATGAAACATGAAAAATATCTGAGCCTGCAATGCAAGACCTACATGGGTGTAGGTTGTTCATAAGACGGAAAGATGAAGGCGAAAAGTCGATCTCCCTCTGCAGCACCAGATGACGATGTAACAAGGTCGAGCCTGCGAGCAACATCACCGAGCTCATAGTGCGCGGCCATGAGCAACCAAACAAACGTGAGCAGCTCCCCTCCTCCTCTGCTCATCTGTTGCGCATGTGCCTCTGCGTGTGACTTGCCTGCTGCATAAACAAGCAGCCTTATCCATATTTCTTTGATCTCCACCAATAATTCATCGATGGTCAATTCAAACTCTGGAAAGTCCAATAAAGCTCGGGCACCCAACAGTATTTTGCCTTCAATTTCTCCAGCAGCCGTCCAATCCTTATGTAGCACTTCTCGGATATGTTTCTGGCTGGTAGACAGGGGAAGATCCAGGCCTAGGACTGCCGGGGATACTGTCCTAGTATCTGTTGAAGACTCCTTCACAAAGTAATTACAAATCTGGAGGACAAATAGCTTGAGTCTATCCAGCACAAGGCACGGCACATCTCTGACTCCACCCCTGCCGGTAGAGAATATTTTCTCTGGGAACAATGCAAGTGTATCTTCTGCAGTGGTACTGACCGGCAACATGGAAGGGTTTACAACAAGAAGATAGATCATGTAATTTGATATTTCCTCACATATGCTCGCAAGATGTGATCTACCTCCTTTGTCGTGTAGACGTGATCCCTCCTCATCAAGTAGACCCCTTATATGATAATCTGTAAACAAATGTAGTTGGAGTATGGCATGCTCAAAAGGTCCTCGCAGTATCAATTCCAGTTCTGTGCTAAGTCTAGGCCTCATCCCTTTTGCTAAATCATTGAAACGATCCTGCTTGTCCAACCACTGCACCACACATTCCATGACCTTATGCTTAGCTTTGACATCCTTGGTGTGTCGTAAGTGCTTCCAGACCTTAGCCCAACCAACAGAATTTATGATATTTCTGATCATGCCAATGGTTGGTGATTCAATACAGAATATGGAGCGCAGAAGGTTATATTGCCCCATGGAATCTGACCACCACAGCCTCTTCTCCGGCTGAACAATGTTGAAGATAGACCAGAACAAATTGGTAAGCCAGTGAAAATTCCGTGCTTTCAAGAATGCCCATGCCCATGGTGATACCATTGCCATAAGAATTGAAACAAGTTCCATAAAAATGCTACCAATGAGTAATGCATATGTTATTGCAATATCCACTCTGCTATAGCTTTCTTTCCTGTCTGCGTAGAAGAGCACAAAAGCAACCACTGCAGAGATATGTACAACACAGCGAAAAATGCTACCTGTCCATGTCCTAAACAGAACAGCCTTGGTGTAGAGGTCATCATATATAATAGCGAGCTCCATCTCAATGATCTTAAGTTTTGCCCCATGCTCTGCAAATCTTCCAAAATATTCTACTAATGTAAACCGAATTTCATGCCCCATCTGAAAAGTTGCACGCCCTGCAAGGAATCCCCGAATATAGCGTGCCGTATGGAGAGCATAGCAAACAATGTCACAGTATCTATCTTGCTCAACACTTAGTAGTGGCAGTTGATTATTTTCATAGTTACTAGTGGTGCTATTAAGGTCATCCTTACTCCCATACTTGAGAGCCCATATCCTCTCCCCGTACTTAATTATTCCAGAAACAAACACAAACATGGCTGGAATTAAAAGCTGATTGCTGTTCCCCATTGATTTCCAAAAGACATATAATGCAAGGCTGACTTCAACCAAAAGATTCAGAAAATGCCTTAGCCACAAATTGTTATCCTCAGATGAAAAGGCAGTAATAGTGTCTTGTCCACCAAGATGAACAAGGAGGAAAGGTGCCCAAAAGAATGCCAAAGACATTGTCCCTGTAAACGGATCCCTACTATTGATAGAATCTCCAAGTCGAGAGATCTGACCAAGAGTATAAAATGCAATCATGTCTGCCCCCAAATAAGCCAACCAAATAGAGAATCTTAGCAATGTATTACTGCTTCGTCGCCTAAGCCCCCCTGTGAAGAAGAGGAATAGTTGCAGTGTATAACTGAGAAGCACAAGTAACCTGATTTCCCACTCGTTCCATAGCTGCACCAATATGATTGACAATTGCATAATGTTGATAATGGATGTTTATGTCTCTATGGTCTCCTGTTGATCCAGCAATAAAAATATGTGAGGAATATGATTTTTAAAGAGTTATGGACAATTTAAAAGCAACTTGCAAAACTACCCCACGATCTATGCAATTGTGAGGAAAATAACACGATAAAGTAGTATTTTACGAATCTCACATCGATGATTGAAAATGTAAATGTAGTAGCTTAATAATGCCCTTGCTTTGCTATGGATCAATATCATATTTTTTGAACATGGGCCTGATTTAGTTATGTATGTTTTCTTGCGTGACCAAGGTTTGACCTAGCCCATGCCACGCCTTCAATACTACATTCTCGGCGTACATAATGTGTCCTTGCCTGCGGTTAACTGTGCAGGCCACATCCACATCCCTCGTATTATTACATAATAATAAGTAAAATTCAGTACTTCGTTGATACTTAACATATTTAGTATAGAAAGCATACTTGCAAGAAACCTCTAGCTATATTCTTTTAGCAGCAGGTCATATATATTATGCTGTTTAAAGCTGCACTCCAAATCATGATGAAATCTAAAATTATATCAACAATAACAGGCTAGAGCTGAAACCATAAGAATCTCGCAACCAACTCATGGTTCTGGCACATGGATAGCAAGGTTCCACGCACCCTTGTTCATGGCTAGTTCTTTGGTGATACTCCAGTCCTTCAGATCTCTCATTATGGACTCCTCCCATGTCAAGTTCGTTCTACCCTGACCTTTCTTGACATTCTCAGCACGCTTTAGCCGTCCGCTATGCACTGGAGCTTCTGGAGGCCTACGGTGAATATGCCCAAACCATCTCAAACGATGTTGGACAAGCTTCTCTTCAATTGGTGCCACCCAAATCTATCTCGTATATCATCAATTCATCATTCCGGACCCGATCCTTCCTTGTGTGGCCACACATCAATCTCAATATGCGCATCTCCATCACATCTAACCGTTGAACATGTCGCCTTTTAGGTGGGCAACACTCAGCGCCATACAACATTGAGGCTGAATCTCCGTTCTATAGATCCTGCCTTTTAGCTTTTGTGGCACTCTCTTGTCACGGAGAACGCCAGAAGCTTGGTGCCAATTCATCCATCTGACTTTGATTCGATGGTTGACATCTTCATCAATATCCCCATCCTTCTGCAGCATTGATCCCAAATATCGAGAGGTCTCCTTCTCAGGCACCACCTGCCCATCAAGGCTAACCTCCTCCTCATGCCTAGTAGTACTGAAACCGCACCTCATGTACTCGGTTTTAGTTCTACTAAGTCTAAAACCTTTCGATTCCAAGGTTTGTCTCCATAGCTCTAACTGCCTATTAACCCCCGTTCCCCTTCCGACTATCATCGACTAGCACCACAAAGAGCATACACCATGGGATATCTCCTTGTATATCCCTTATGACCTCATCCATCACCAAAGCAAAGAGATAAGGGCTCAAAGCCGACTCTCTGTACAGTCCTATTTTAATCGGAAAGTCATTAGTGTTGCCATCACTTGTTCGAACACTTGTCACAACATTATCGTACATGTCCTTGATGAGGGTAATGTACTTTGCTGGGACTTTGTGTTTCTCCAAGGCCCACTACATGACATTCTGCGGTATCTTATCGCAGGCAGGGCCGGCCCTGAGGGGGGGCAGAGGGGGCGGCCGCCCCGGGCCCCTCAATTCCAGGGGGCCCCTCTCAGCAGGTACGTACGTACGTTAGTAACCCAGAGTAGCGAGGCTTCAGGCCTATTACATGTACAGAAAAATTCTGATCTGGCCCAAGTTGGTTGCTGGGTTATCTAAGACGTGATACACGCACGATCTCTGATATCTCGGAAAGAAAAACGCATGCAGTATGGCTGATCGATCAGATTAGATTAGATCAGATCTTTCCCTAAAAAAAGATCAGATCAGATCTCTTGGCAAGAAAAATGCAAGCAGCGCGCCGATGGATGAATTTTCCCTCGCGCTGAGCACCCTTGCCATCACCTGATCGTCACGTCGCGCCTTCGCTTCGCCTTATCACAATATCACCTACATGCACAGCAGCAGCCAGGAACAAGTGACAAGAGCAGACGAGTGCTGCATACAATCAATCAGAAAACAATTTTAAATCCATGTTCTACAGCTCGAAGGTAACCTTTCTGGTAGTCCCTTTCCTAAATTTGTTTCTTGTTAATTAAAGTTGATGCCGAGATTTGTTTTTGATAATCAGATAATTGGATCGGATTAGTCCTTTGAAAACCACATTATTTGTGCTTAATTTTGAGACGACACAACAATCAAATTTGTAATGTTTATGGATTTCATTCCCATCGAACCCAATTTGTTTAGTTTGGATTAATTGTTGTTGAGGTATCACAAGGTCACTGTTGATGGACAAGTACTTTCAAAGTTCAATATATATTTTTTTAGCAAATTTTATGAGATTTCTATTTTGCAAGAACTAGTCTATTTTTTAGGCGTAACCAGTTTTTGATTACAAGATGAAACAGGTAGATAACTTCCTGTTGAACATCCTGATTTGCTTCTTTTCTTTATTTGGTAGACTCGATCAATATTTATAGGCTAGAAATTTGTATATGAGTGCTTTGGAGTTTATATTAAAAGGAGAATCCAAGTTGTGCTTGTAAATTTACCTAAATGTACATAGACATTTTGAAATCAAGGGTCTCCGGTTTTACTTTCGCCCCGGGCCCCCAAAATGTCAGGACCGGCCTTGATCGCAGGCCTTCTCCAAGTCAATGAACACCATATGCAGGTCCTTCTGTTGCTCCCTGTATCTCTCCATAAGTTGTCGTGCCAAGAAAATGGCTTCCATGGTCGACCTTCCAAGCATGAAACCAAACTGATTTTTGGTCACACTTGTCATTCTTCTTAAGCGGTGCTCAATGACTCTCTCCCATAGCTTTCTCATCAGCTTAATTCCACGGTAATTAGTACAACCCAGAACATCCCCCTTGTTCTTAAAGATTGGTACTAGTGTACTCCGTCTCCATTCCTCTGGCATCTTGTTTGCCCGAAAAATGAGGTTGAAAAGCTTAGTTAGCCGTACTATCACTATGTCTCCGGGGCCTCTCCACACCACAATGGGGATACAATCAGGGCCCATTGCCTTGCCTCATTTCATCCTTTTAAACCATCTTTGACCTCAGGCTCCTGGATTCGCTGCACGAAACGCATGCTGGTATCATCAAAGGAGTCGTGCAGTTCAATGGTAGAGCTCTCATTCTCCCCATTGAACATCTTGTCGAAGTACTCCCGCCATCTATGCTTAATCTCCTCGTCCTTCACCAAGAGCTGGTCTGCTCCGTCCTTGATGCATTTGACTTGGTCAACATCTCTCATCTTCCTCTCTTGGATCTTGGCCATCTTATAGATGTCCCTTTCGCCTTCCTTCGTGTTTAATCGCTGGTAGAGGTCCCCGTACGCCCGACCTCTTGCTTCACTCATAGCCGCTTTGCGGCCTTCTGTGCCACCTTGTACTTCTCTATGTTGTCAGCACTCCTATCCAGGTAAAGGCGAGTCTAAAACTATATTAAGTCTGAAAAAAACTTATTTGTATGAATCTGCCATGCTTAAAAGGTGATCACCCGTTGTTCACAGACAACACAAGTTTCCTATGAAAGCAACGGTTCCGACGAGAGCGGTGGCACTTCAAGATTAGCATAGCCATTTGAATTTGGAATCCCAACTGAAGGGGATGGAGGCCATCTGAACAAACACAGTAGGAGGATGGGGCCTGGGGGAGGGTAGGCGGCAGGAGGAACTAGGAAGTGAACTGTGGGAGGTCATGAGGGGCGGGCGGCAATAGGAAGGAGGCAAGGGATTGTGAGTGTTAATAGTTATATTAGGAAACTCCAATGTCATGCACCAAACCACTGCTTAATGCCCGAAACGCGGTGTCAACATGTTTTTTGGCATCCAACGTTGTGCCTCAAACGTCCGCGGATGCATCTAGGCGTCTAAAATCTCATAAACCGATTGCAAAGTTGGGGGAGGTTTGTGGGCGTCCGGACCTCCGTCACGTAGGCCTCCGACACACCTGGCCCACCCAAAAACACCACTCGAACCCCCTATTTTCCTCACTCCGTCCCCCTCCCTTCTCTGAATCCGCTCCCTCCCGGTCCTCTGCCGCCGCTGTGCCACCCCGGCCGCCCGAACAGGCCTTTCCGGACCTCCACCGCTATACCAGGGCCCAAGGCCCACTCTGCTAATGCCGGCGATCCACCCCTGATATGGCAACCACCCAGGTACCCTCCGCCCTGTAGATGTTGTCAATGGCAGACACCACGCCTGGCAAGTGCTCGGCCAAGTGCCTTAGCAAAAAAAATAGGTTTTTTGTCCTTAACTTTGAATCAAAAACAATGGATTCGGGGATGGAGTACTTGTGGGGGAACTTCATGGATTCGTCATCGTCAGATGAGGACGAATATGAGGATGAAACAATGATGATAGAGGCGGTTCTTGCAGACGCGCGATGTGCGGAGGAACATGATCTGAATTACAAGCGATCAGTCAAGAGACATTGAGTGCTGAACCGGAATCGGGCACGGAGCCATTTAACGCTCATTGACGACTACTTCAACGAATATGCATCGAGTCCTTTTTCTGCCGTCACTTTCAGATGTGGCAAAGTGTGTTGCATCACAAGACCTCTCAATGCATCTTCCATTTCCAGTGCAATCCAGAGATCCAGGGATTGCATGCACTGGAAATGGAAGAACTGCCCATATGCTCAACACAGGCAATATTAGGGTCCCTGTAAAAAGCCCACCAACATTCTTGAAGTAGTTGCATCACAAGACCTCTGCATTTGGCACTCTTTCTTTGCCATGCCTGGGAGACACAATGATATCAACGTTCTGCAACGGTCTCCATTGTATACTAGGTTGACTGCGAGACAAGCTCCTCTGTGCAACTATATACCATCAATGGTCATGACTACAACATGGCTACTATCTTTGTGATGGTATCTATCCTCCATGGG